TCAAGTGAGAATTATGCAGTTTTCTCTGTAAAGCTCTTGCCACTCAGCTAGATCAGTGAGTGATTCTTGAGAAATGTTTCTGCCTTGGAAAAATCTATTGGTATCTCAGAAAGCAAGAGTTAGTATTTTCAAACTCTTAGCTATAATGTTCAGTTAATTATTACATCTACTGGAACTAGTCATCCTAAATTGAGTAGTTATAATCTGATATCTTAAGAATATATTTTATAGAAATTAAGGGCCACAAATTCTTTTGGTCCTGTTCATCTTGTAATAAAAACTAACTTAACTTCATATAAGATAAATAACATAATGCACTACATACTTGACAGCTTGGAAGCAAGGAATCACCACTTCCTTTTAAGCATCAATTTCTCAATCAAATGACTGTGATAGCTCTCAATGATCAAGTTTAATTTCCAGATATGTCAATTAGAAGGTCATGGTTTAGCAGCTGTGTGGACAACTGGAGCTAATTCTTGCTTTTACATCTAGCGCCAATACTGGGGCTTCTATTAAAGCACACTTTATGGACTGGAATGTTTGCTCATATTTCTCATTCCATCTTACTAAACACCAATAATACTGATGTGATCTTGGAGAAGATGATCACAAGTTATTGGTAATATGAGGAAAAATTGAGAAAAATGTGGACTTCTTGTTTGGTCACCACTGCTGTTTTAGCAAGATCCATGGAAATTCCACTTATGGAATGAAAATTTTCCTGGTTTCAGTTTAAAGCCTTCCTTTTTTATCTACTTGAATACCATTTTCAGGTTCTTAGGCACAAACTTAAACATGAGACCAAACCCAAAATGTCAACATAGATCAGTTGTTTCTCCCTGCAGCCGCTTTAGTATAAGTTCAATTACTATCTTGAGGGTGGTGATCTGAATATAGATTTGATACCACTCCCATCTCTGATGTAAAGATTCTATTTGAGAGCCTTTTTTAAAATAATGTACGGATTCTCTCGGCAGATCTTTGGGCAACTCTCTTGCCGATTTTTAACAAGCTATTCCCAATTTTTACAGAGGTCTCCACATCTTTATTCAGTCTTGCTCCAGTCCTCCAGCAATGGTCCAGTAAAGCTAGTAGAACAGCCAAAGTCACCACTTATAGAAACTTCCACTACCTAACCTCTATGCAAGTTTATTTTGTCATCTCTGTTTTATGTAGCAATGTATAAGTAATCATGACTAGAAAAAGAGATGATCTCACTAAAATGATTGGTTATTTAATACCTGTTCTGAATGAACTTGTAGCATTACTAGAAAAATGTTTGAAAGATAATAATTTGCACTTATGTTATTAACTAATAAGAATATTTGTGTTGTTTGCATTTATGGAACCATATGATAAGATATATGTGTTGTTTGTCCTCTGATGTCTGAGTGATTTCTTTATTCTTTGCATAAACTTCTTTGAGTTAGTGACTTGTGAGCCTAACCCACAACTGCAAAAAATATTCTGGACTTAAATAAATAAATCTGTAATAGGGGAAAGTCAAACCCATGAGAACCACACCTGTTGCAGTTACTTTCCCCTAAGTCAGTTGTTGGGCCCATCTTGAAAAATAGGCACTTTGTTTCTTCCCTCTAGGATGTCCTGGTGGAGGCATAAGCAGTGTAAGTTATGACACATTAATCATGGAAAGACAATTTTTTTCCTCTCTTACAACTGCATCAAAGTCACTACTTGGTACCATATCATGATAGTTACTGTTTTGGTAAGTGTGAGAAGATCTCTCTCAACCAGATGATGATAAATCATCTCACTGGGAAGCCCTTCTACAAACTTGTCAATGAAGATAAACTTGGGATTTGCTGAGGTCTTTGCAGAAAAAGCCTTACTATGCATATGGTGAAGATCATTTGCATATGCCATCAAGTATTCCATGAACTCCACTTCTGTGCCTTGAATTCATCAGTAATGGCTGTCTTGCAGTTCCATAGTTGTTCCTTGTTCAAATCACCTGTCATCTGAACAAGAAGTCCTCATTACAGTAGGCATTATAGAAGATGTTCTGAGGGACCATGACACCCTTTGGTAAATGATGAGCTTTCTTTAACTGGGAAGTGTACTGCAGATATAGTAATGAATCATGGAGGAGCATGGGGTCAAGCAACTGAATGCACATCATTGTTCTGCCACTCATTTGATCTAATCATTTCATACTTTAGTATCTGCCATCTCATCTATTGGTGAGATAATTCTGGTTGGATAATAAATCCCACCAATGGCACCCACAGTTTCTCTCTCTGATGTTTTCAAGCGTTGTAAGCATGTAAGTCCTGCACAGGCCATAGACTGAGTTTAAGAATCACCAGATGTCACACTACCATAACAATTCTCAGTCTTCCTTGTGTTACTTGCACCAATGTCAATCTTCAGGGGAAGAGCATAAATAGCTGTTCTATGTGCACCAGATATCAATGGCTCTTCTTTCTGAGTCATCGGCTGCTATAAGATAGAAATCACGGGCCCTCACATCATTAATGAAACTCCTACACTCAAGAGAGGGCTTTTTTTTATGGCCTACAACTCTCTCTTCAGCTTCTGACTCTTCCTCTTGGTTGTAATTCCTTCTAATTGTAGAAAATGCCATTTTTCTTAATTATAAAGTCTTTTTAAACTTATATTACACAAAAGTAGGAGTAAAGGGCAATGTACACTTCAGCAGATAGATCAAACTATGCAATATGATACCCTGTAGTTTCAGCAACAAAATTGTCTCCTTCCTATCCACTCTATTGTATATTCAGGTAAAATTTAGTTAATGTTTGAGCATTGGGATAGGTACATTTAAAAACAGTAGAACTCCTCAAGATACTAATTATGAAATAAGGCTAAATCTCAAAATATGTGACTTGTGATATATAATGGAAAAAATGAGACTAGACACACAGTTAAAGATGTAATGCAAAATCTTTCATCCCTTTCCACACGGGTCAAAGGCCATGTCATTTGTTGATTAACCTTCAAAACTTATGTCAATAAGTTTGGTATCACACTGTAAATTATAATTCAAATTTTAGTATTATACATTATTTGAGCTCTTAATTTAAAAGGAAATATAAAAAACATACCTAAACATCGATTTTTGTGTGTCACGTTGTACGTTGAATGCAGCACTGCTTCAAATTAGATTTTTGTGAGGTGAAAATACAAAGTCGATAGTTTTGTATGAATTAGGAACTCAAATGACTGATATTAATAAATCATAATATAAATAAGAATAATAAGAAACTCCTATCTTTTCTATTTGCTGAGATATCGCTCATGTACTGAATCAAACACAGTGGTCCCGCTCACCTCTTCCATTTTTGGAAACACTCCCTTATATACACATACTTCTGTCTATGACATTTGAATAACCAATCAAAATCTCAGAATGTCCTCCTAGTGACTTTCTCAGACATTTTCATTTATTATAACATTATCTTATTCTTTTGATACAAATCTTCATGCTGGTAAGGTGACTCTTTAGTCTGCTCAAAATTTCATATTATTTTAGACCCAAATACAGCTTAATTACTAAGCTTGATAAATTATAGTGGAATTCTGTGGTATCAGTATAGTAATTATTGATTTTGTGGTTATTTCTAATGTATATATAAAACCTAAAAATATATTTCATTTCACATCCTCCAGATGTTAAATTTTATAAATAAATTTAAAAAGTTATTTGTAAATAGTAATAATGTATATACATATATTACGTATAATAATTTAAATATGACTGTATCTTACAAAATTCTAGTCCACTAAAACACAACCAAGACATGTTACTTTGTAAAGACTAAAGGTCAGTTTTATATTATTTGATATGGTAACATGAGTGCACGTGCTCTGCATCATTGTAGCTTCTGTATTGTTAGCCAAACATGGCTGAAAGGTCAAAATAATAAATATATATAAATGCATAATGTTAAGAGATTTAAGCTATTTAGTATAAACATTTCTGTTTTCGTGTTATAATTTGTGTTCATTCTAGAACGAAAGAGGCATAATTTATATTTATTTCCTAATTTTTTATTGTGGTTACGAGATCGGTCAAATCTACTGAACCCGTACAGATATTTGTTAGTGAAAATAATAGATAAAATATAGTTTTTTCTTAAGAGACATTTGATAACTATGCAGACATCATAAAGATTTTGCATGTGAAATTTGAAAATTTTCTGATGCATAAAAGTATTTTTAATCTCAAAAGGAAAATTACTTTACATGTTGGATAGGCAATATGCAAAAAAGGCATGAAAAACATTCCTTAACAAACTTTAAGACTTAATAAAAAAATCTGATATTTTGCATATGAAAACATTGTAGTGTTTACTGATAATCTGCCAAATGTCATGAACATACACATACAAGTTTAAAAGTTATAGCATGAAAATCATAACAAGCACGAAAGAGTTATCAGAACAAACATCAAACACATACACACAGTTTGTGTACTTGTTTTTATGGAATGACAGATTGTCACTTTTATTTGTGTCTTTCTCTTCTTTCTTCTCTAGTTTATCAAGTTTATGTTCCAGTTTGACTATATCAAATATTCATTAGTTTGCTAGAAATGCCATATTTACTCAGAGACTAGTGTTAACCATGTGACTGGTCACTCTCATTCCAATATAGGTGAGGCTGTAACCTCTACATGTCACCTAAACAATCACTGAAGGGTGCTGCTGTCAACATCCTTAACAAGATGAGTATTTAAGCAATATCCCCTCCCTCCAAAGCAGAACAAGTATTACCTGCTAAAGAACAACAAAGGCAGCTAGAACAAAATGAACTTAATAGTTTTATCAACCACTTGTTATGTGAACAAAAAAGAAATTCAGAATAAATACTATAATATTACAATAAGATGGAAATGTATGGTATAATCCAATCTCTTCAGTTTTGACTCATTAACTGATATTAACTAATGTATTCAGAACATCAAAACTTAATTGCAAAGACAATCTACATGAAGATAAAAGATTGCACCATACCTTTTAAAAGTTCACTATAAAACTTGGGTTCAATTGATCCTACAGCCATATATTTTCCATCTTGGGTGGAATAAGTGTTATAGAATGGAGCTCCACCATCTAGCATGTTCTTCCCTCGTGGTTGTGTCCATAATGGAAGAGACTTAATAGATCTAGATGTCCACAACCAACTTCCTAAGTATGTACTGCCTTCTACCTATATGGATAATAATCACAAAATAATTAGAGCTTAACTTCTTGGTATATTTTCAATTGTTATTTTGAATGCTGAGTTTAAATTTGATAATGTTCTGAAGAGCAAAGTTCTCAAATGATGATACAGTGTACTATAATCATTACAAATTTACAAGATAAGGTCTTTCGCTCTATACCAGAGCTGATCAAGGTGGTTGCAGAATGCCTTGTCAGCAGTGGTATGTAACACACAAATTGTGCAGTCATGATGCTATTATTAAGGTGTTATTATGTTTCTTGTTACTGGAAACTTGTAGTATATGGCTAATAAAAAATGATTTGTAAACAATTATTATCAGTCTTATTATGATGTACTGGTACAAAAACTACGTAATAATCAGATATTAACCTTATCACCCCAGGTACCCTTTACTGTGCATGACACAATGTTTTATTGTCTTACATTCAAGATTTTATTAAACTACTTTTTTTTATGTTATACAATTAGAATAGCATAAAATCTTAGCTAATAATCCATATTTTAATAGTACACAAGTTTTAAGTTACTAATTCTACATGGCAATATTAGAAAAATCCTGAATTTCCACTAGTGTGACCCACATGACACATTTTCTCTTAGCATGTCATCATCCCTATTTTATCCACCAACACTCGAAAAAGAACAAAATTAAATATAAATTACTCTCTATAAAATTGTTATTGCTCAGACAAACCATAATTTTTTATAGTCTTCACTTTTGTTTCGTTACAGAGCTATTGAATAGAAAATCAGACCCCTCCTGCCACATGCTCTCTTTCACAATTCATTGATATTTCTTTCTCATGTTTCATTATATATTACAATAGAAAGTCAAGGTTTTCCTCTATCAAATGATGTATTGTATTCTGAACAGAATATCTTGAATTTCACTCACAGTACAAGATTCATTCCCATGGGAAAATTAACAACTAGCTTGGATGAATTTGTAATGGTTCTTGTCTCATAGTTAGAAAGCTAGGAACATTTTGAGAGGTAAGTGAATTTGTCTACGTTTTGCATGTTATTAGTCTATATTCTTTGATGCATTATATAATTAAATAAAGATTATTAAGTGCATTACTAGCATTAGTATAAAAAATTAGGGTTAACTCTCTTTGAAACCCAACAGCAAGAAGAAAAAAAAAAGATAAGGTAAATACTTTATTTCTTTTTTTTCCATATTTATTCTTTATTTATTATCATAAAAGTAATGAAAACCTAACAATACGGATCTTTTTAAGTTATTTAAGACTAGATTTGGTAATAATATAATCATAAGGATTCATGAGGCATGCACGCGAGCAGCTCATGGGTAATGTAATTTCATAGCGTAACATGAGCTGTACATTCCCTGAATGATTTACAACTTATGAAGGTGCAGATAGTAGCTAGCCATGATTCAAAGAGCAATAAAACAATAAAATTTAATTATAAATAAATGTATACTGTTACGAACTTAAAGCTACTTTGGAAAAACGAATGTAGTTTCATGTTACAATTTGAGGTCATTCTAGAAAGAAAAAAGGGTGATTTAAGTTTATTTTGATTTTTTTGTTGGCGGTTATGAGGTCGGTCGATTTGACCAATCCCATTTTCAGAGAAAATACAGATAAACTATAAAGTTTTACTGAAAAAACGTTTGAAATGCATTTAGGAGGTTTTTAGGGATTACACAAAGAAAATTTGAGATTTTTGAGATGAAGAAAAGTATTTTTAGTTCTAACATGAAAATTACTTTGCACATGGACTATTAAAAGCAAATACTCAATATATTAATAGTCAAATCATTATTTTATTTTATTATAAACACTTCACTAAAAATATGATTTTTTGTATGTGAAAAACTTATAATATGAACTGAAAGTTTGCTATTTTGAATAAAAAGTTCAGCCACACACAAATTTATATGTACCTCTAACTGCTATATTTATGTTTTTCTATATTTAATCATTTAATTTCAATATATGCTCCACTTGTTTGCTGTGTACAGAGCACCTTGTTCCACATAAAAAATAAACACCAACTTTTTTTATATTGTGAAACCACTATAAGATACACTTAACATAATAAATATTTATCTGCAAAGTTAACGGAAAACAAAAATTCTCATTCACACCGCTTGAATTAGGAGTTTTGATGGAAGCTAATCATTTAAACATTTTGGTGACTTAATTATTACTTCACAGTGAAGTGAATGAACATCAGAGCTAAGACATTTGAAATGTGATATTTTGCTACATCTACATTTAATAAAATAAAGATCATCAAATGTTGTAGCAGACATTTCAGTGAATATAGTACATAGATTGTTACTTGTCAGCACAAGGATATTAATGTAGTCCCACATGAGAGAGTTTGTTTAATCACTTCTATTAAATTTTATTTTCTTAATTAGTACTGTTAGCCCAAACTTAAAAAAAATAATAAAAACGTTTCTCAAGGAAAAGTAGGAAAACTTTAACATTTAAGATAAACAAATAATAAAATATGTTCTTTTTAATAATGCACTTACTAATTAAGTACAATAATAATAATTCTACTCTAAAAGACTTGAAAGATTCATATAAAACACTGAAGAACTAACCATGCTGGCATCAACTACTTGGCCTTCACCAGTTTGAGTCCTAACATAAAGAGCAAGACAAATTCCGAGTGCACACATTAGTCCACCTCCACAAAAATCACCAAGAAGATTAAGTGGTGGTATAGGATTAGAATTAGCATTTCCGAGCATAGATAAAATTCCTGTATAGTATTGAAAAAAGCAAAATTTCAAATCAATAAGAAGTATAGATTTATAGGTTAAATGCAAGACAAATACAAAGGCATGTATCTACTTGATCTAGGAAATACTCCAAAACTGTAATCATGCCTATATTGGTTTCAGATTTTACGACATATTTTTCTTTATATGATTTATAAATGCATACTTTCTTCACAGACTGATTAAAGAAAATAAACTCTATTATTAATATCATACTGGTGGTATGTGGCTACTGAGTTAATCAAATTACACTAATTTTCTAAATGTGTTACTGTTACTTAGGTAAAAATTACTTAAGTTAAACTAAAACACCAGAAAATGGTCTAAATCTCCTTTTAAATGTGATACAAACTTCAGAATTAAAAACCTCTTTCATATCATGGAATTGTATATGAAACACATTTACAACAATAAACTAATAAAAATGTATTAAACTTGTGATAAAGCTTTCTTTATTACCCATTCAACCCATCTCTAAACTTTATAAGCTTACTTTATCTCAAGTTACCTAATGTCTTGTCATTGAAGAAAAGTTTCAAGCAGATATAATTTAACACAAACACTTTCACAATTCACAAACAAAAATAATGCTTTACAAAAACTGATAAACCAATATATTTACTCAACTGTGACACGAAAGTGTAATTCTTGCTTTATTCAATCAAATTTAAACTTTATTTATAACTATTTTAAAGCTATGTTTCAAAAGTAAATGATAAAATCACTTGAAGTAGCATCTTAACCCTTTCGAGACAGGTCACAGGTGAAAGGCCATGTCATCTTGTTTGTTGACTCACATTCAAATTTTATTGAACCACTATTTCA